TTAGTAATATAAATATTTGAGCTGCAAACCACCAAAGCATTCAAAGCCTTTGGCACTGCAAGGTAGTCATGTATTATTTGCTTCATTACAAAAGGTAATCCCTGTGTTTTTATTAAGAAGCTGGCACCAGCTGTAATCAAGCTGCTGGTTAAACATACCAAACAACCAGCAAATTCTCAGCCATTATGTACAAATTCAACATTATCCTCTAGGACCTCTAGTTCCCTGAAAAATACCTTCAACATCACAAGAGAAGAAACTCTTAGGAATTTAAAATCAGATTTAGGAGAAGAAAATATTTTCTGTGATGTGTCTGCCTGTTTCCAAATGCACAGCACCAGCCAAGCAGCACCTTCAAAGGTTTTGTTTTGGAGAACATAAAATTTTCCTTTGCCTTCAAAACTGGCTTTTCCTTTGTTTTCAGCCCAAGCATCTGGGATGCCATATCCTCTTCCTAGAGCTGCCAGCAGAAGCACAAACTTAACTCCTAAGTGGGCCTCAGTACTGCCTCCAAAGCTCAGCTCTCCCAGCAATGCCCTTGTATTTTTCTACAGCAAAGAAACTCCTCCTTGCTCAGATGGGCAGAAGAAATGAGCAAAACCTGCTGCACCCAGAAGGGCAGACCCTGAAAAACAAGATCAGCAGCCACATTTTGGCTCACAAGAGAAGGGCTGTGAGAGCACTTAAGATCTCCAAGGTGTCCCCAGTCTGGGAGGAGGTTTGGAGATAGGCTCTCAATACCAGGGGCTACCACATTTTCCCTTAGGAAAAGTAAAAAGCTAAAAGGTAACTCTAAGTACTCATTACTCTTTTTTACTACTTAGAATTAAATCTGCTGGGAAATCTATAGTGATAATCACAGTACTGGTTGCCAGACCACCAGAAGCCAATGAAAAGGGATGAAGGGGGATTAATCTGTGGAGGTGATGGCAAAGCACGACAGCTGCAGAGGGCCTGAGCAATTTCTTTAGGGAAATAGAAGTGCAGATTGCTAAAATGGCACTGGAAGAGAGATTTAACTAAACACACAGGCAGATCTTCATGTCTGAAGCTTGACTATGATAAGAAGCAGAGAAATGTAAATGCAGTGGTTACTAATGGGCATTATGAGCAGACAGGCAGCTTTGACAGCATGTTCTCAGCTAGAAGCTGTACTCCCAGGGACTCTTATCTTCCACATCCACTTCTTTCAGCAACCATATAAATGTAGCAGGCAGATTTGCCAACCACAGCATGCAACTGCTGGATAATGGCAGTGGTTGCCAATAAGGCCCATAGCCAAAACTGATGCCTAGACAAACTGAGAAAACCAGGCTTCCCTGATTCCTATCACCAGCATTTCCACTTTCTGGTGAGACACACAGAGAAAAGACAGGTTTCCAAGGCAGAGACTTCACTGCTATCAAACACTGGTTTGTATTCTGAAGAGAAGCTGATTGCCTCTCCTTGCTGTGGTGACTCCCTTGTGTAGGGACATACACTGGAAGAGAAAGAGGGAGGGTACAGGGAACCTCACTAGTGAGAAGACCAGATCTAGGGCAGGGCTCAGGCTGTCAGCTGACACTGAACCCAGACCCAAAACACTAGCTGGGAGATTCTAGTATTTCTGCATGGCAATAGAAGCAACAAAAATGACTTCCATTAATAATGGCTCTATGTGTGCAACATCACACACTTACTTTCATGTTTTTCTCTGTTTACTAATTCCTGAGCTACTAATAATAGCTAACAGAAATGATGGTGCTGCAGAACATGGAAAGAAAAGCATTTCACAAAGTGAACCTCCCCAAGACGGCCAGTGAGGTGCTGGACAGAAATTACTCTGAAGCTCCTGAACAGTAAAACCAGAATTAACCTCTGCCCTTGTGAATGATCAATGTCTAGCGTCAATCCTGATGGATTTCGGACCCACCCTTCCCTAAATGTTAGCTATTCCAACTGACATGTAAATAATTAAACTTTCTCTACACACTGCCAAGATAGGAAGAAGAAAGGCTATTGCTGTTCCACATAACTATAGATAAGCTTGGCCCTCCTTCCATCTCCTGAAATTACAGCCAAAGCCAGCATGAGGAGGAATCCCTTACTCAGGTGCTAAGGTTCCTGCCTGCACTGCATGAAATAAGAGCTCTGACCCAGCCTCTGGGAGAAAACACACGCAGCAGAGACAAAACATTCTTCAAGGCCAAGGTTACCAAGAGGGCACTGAATTAGGGTTATGTTTGCAGCCAGCCACACCACTGAGGGAGGACAAGCTCGCTGAATAAACCACAGAGGGACATCAGGTTACCAATCGGGGATTTAAAGGACACATTGTAACTGTTCAGTTGACAAACCTAATTCTGAAAATGTTAAATATGTTAAGAATTTCAATAGAGTTTTGATTTTGCTGCATTGTCACAGTCATTGATTCTTGGTTATTTCTAATAAAAACCAGCTAAGGCAACATGGAACAAACTTGGTTTGTTCAAGGCTGAACTCAGCAATAATAAAGCATTTCTATGACAAGGAGAAGCACCCTAAATTCAACTGTGGAAAATTTCCTATTCTTAGACGAGAAACCATTTGGAAAACCTGACTTACTAATGTAATTTAAAATGTCATATCTACAAAAGTATGTATAAAACCTGCATAGTTTCTGTCAATAAAACACAAAGTACACAAACAGTCTGTATTTTGAAGGTCACACAAGCAATGTGTACTATGAACTTTGGGATTCATGAAATTGTGACATTTTAAAGTGGGAGGAGATAAAATATTTTTCTGTCTTGTTCATATCATGAAATATTAAAATGAACAAACTAAATATTAAGATTCAGTAAAAAATATTTTGAATCTAACACTTAATATTAATTAATTTTCTGCTGAGGAAAAAAATCAACAACTAGGCACCATGAAGTCAATAATCCATAATTTTGGTCTGATTTGCATGATCCAGGAGAATGTCATGTGGCTTCACGTGGATAAGACCTGCTTTTTGCAGAAGAAACACCATCTTAAAAGTACCTCTTTAATTTTTGTCAATTTATATACTATATTTAAAAACTATCTTCCTTTGTGCTATTAATTGTAAGGGTTCAGAGTTATTCATAACATCAAATAGTACCAAATCCTGGGTCTCTTTCCCAGCAGCTCTCTAAGTGGTGTTGGCAACAGTATACTTTAACACTTGTAATTTATTAACCCCCTAGGTGTTGTAATAGGGAGCTAAAGCCACAGTCAGGAGGCATTTAGCAAGTTATATGTGCTACATAGTTTCACAGCAAAGGATTTTCTGCGGTGCTTTTCTTGCCTCACACTTTTTTATTACTTTTTTCCTCTCCTGGTAACTGCCAAGCCCTACATACTTTGGAGATGCTTCCTTATTTTGCCCTAACATACTCTCTCCCATTTCAGAAAGTGTTGCCGTGCATTTATCAAGAAGACATTTTACATATCCTGAAGAATGTTTACCTTTTTCAAATGCTGATAGTGAAGTCCAAGACAAACTTACATGATGGACCCTGCATCCCCAGAGGTGCCCAAGGCCAGGTTGGATGTGTCTGATCTGGTGGATGGTGTTCCTGCCCATGGTGAGGGGTTAGCACTAGATGATCTTTAAGGTCCCTTCCAACCCAAACCATTCCATGATTCTTTACAGGACACTGTCCTGGCTAGAACGACCAGCTATTCCACATACTGAAAGGAGACATGTAGGAGGGGCAGCTAACACAATGAGGGTTTTGATAGAAAGCACCAAGATGTGCGCATTTATCTCGGGTTGCTTTTTCATTGTTGCTGTATGCTACTGGAAGTGGCAGTAGTCCTGCTTTTGTGACTTGCAAGAAAAGATCATTTATCAGCCACCTTCCTGAGTGCAGTTCTTCTGCATATTGGACCAAAAATGTTCAATATGTACTTCAAGGTTCAACAGGAGGGATGCCTCCTTTGACCACATCTACGTGATATCGAAGTCAGGCAGGAAAACTACACATTAAAACCAACTTTAGGCAGGAAGAGATTTAGAGCATTATTTAATGTCACTACTAGTTTTATTGTGTTCCCTCTCTTTTCCTCTACTCCCACAGAGCCATCAAGAAGCTTTACAACTATTAAGACAGTGGCAGGAACTGAGGAGTTGTTGGGGAGTGTTTATGGGGGTAACAGAGCTGGCTGCCCACTCAGTTCATAAAGTCAGGGAAAAATTCTTTGCCACCTGAACATTATTGACACTGTAAAATCCCCAAAACATATAACTCCTGTGATACTGGAGGAGCGTAGATGGAAGATGGGAAAGAACAAGAAATGGAAAAAAGGATGCAAGTTTTCTGCTTTTTATGTGAAAATAAATCAAGATATGCATTTCATTCAGGATCTCAATTCAGCTACATAGGGCTGGCAACATTTTCCACTAAGAATAGAGTACATGCTTACGGCACTTGTGTCATTCTTTGTAAGACACCCAGAGCCACCCAACGCTGAGCCTTTATGACACGGGAATTAAACAACAGGCTCTTCCCCAACCCCACAAGCCGGCTGTGCAGGAAAAACACAACTTATTCAGCAACTTAATTGCTTTGAATTCTTTGTATTATTACTTGTAACATAGTTGCTGAGATGTCAAGCGCTGGGTCACTGCCCTCCAGGGAGTAGCTCGCCCCCCACCCACGGGCAGAGTTTGGGCACACCTGGCAGGACGGAGGGGCCGGGGGAAGCTGGGAGCGCCCTCAGCCCCGGGGAGCGCCCTCAGCCCCCTCAGCCCCTCAGCCCCCTCAGCCCCCTCAGCCCCCTCAGCCCCGGCCCCGCCGCACCGGCCCGGCCTCGGCCCCCCCCGCCCCGCGCTCTCTCGCGAGACTCGGTCGCTGTAGACGCGATGTCCTTTGGGGCACTGGCGAGGGGGAGCACACGGGGGAGGGAGGCAAAGCCTTGATTGATAGCGGCGTTCACCAATAGGCGAGGGGAGCGGCGAGGTTTTAGCCAATAGCTTCACAGCGAGGGGAGCGGTGAGCCAATGGCGACGGTGGGGGGCGGGGCGCAGCGCTGGCTGATTGATCCCAGCTCTGGCGTTGTTCAGTCGGAGCGAGAACATTCTAGAGGTGAGTACGGGGCAGCCATTGCCGGGTCCCGTTCGCCGGCCCCTGCTGCCTCAGCTGCGCGCCTCTCGCCGCCTCTCCCTCCCCCCTTCCCTCTTCTCCCCCCTCCTCTTCCCTCTCCCTCGCAGGTGCCGCCGCTAACGATGCTCCTGATTGTATCTTGCCCGCAGATTGCCCGGCGCCGCTCTCCCTGGTGATACCGCCCGCCCCAGGACGCCGGGACCCGGAGGCTGCGGCGTCCGCCTCCGCCTCCCTCTCCGTCTGGATATAAGCGCCCCCTCGGCCCTGTTCTCCTCTCACAATCGGCTTCGTCGCAGCCCGGGGCGAGCAGCGTTGGGTTTATGTCTTTATTGGACGAAAACGGTGAGTGCTAATAGTGGGCTAGTGCGGGTGAGGGCAGCGGGGTAAGGGGAGCGGGGGCCGGCGGGTGGTTGGGGCCGGGCTGGGGCCTCAGGCTGCCGGTGAACGGTGGAGATTCGCAGAGGTTTTGTGTAACGAAGCGTCCGGGACTTTGACGGGAGGGGGAGGAGAAGCAACGCGGGGCGGGGGAGCAAACAACATAAAACCGCACAACAAAACTCAACTCTGAAAGCAGTAAACCTTCATCTGTGGGGTTATTGTTTGCTGTTGGGGCGGGGGCGAGGGCGAGGATTTTTTTTTTTTTTAAATTTATATTCGTTTCGCCGCCGCCATGCGACGAGACAAGATGGCGGCGGCGGGGCCGCGCCTCCCGCGCTGTGCCCGGGGGGGGCAGTGGCGCAGTTCCCACCGGGCGCGGGGGGGGGCGCTCGGCCCCGCTCCCGGGGGGCGGCGGGGCTCCCCCGTGCCGTGCGGGGCGCATGCGCGGCCGGCGGCGGCTCCCGGCGCTGAGTCAGCGTTTAATTGCTGCATTTATGAGTCACCGGCGGCGGGGCGGGGGCGCGGCGCTGTGCGGCAGGGAGCCGGTGTGCCTTCCCGCTCTGTCCTCCGTGCGCGGCGAGGGGGGGTGGTGCTTGGGATGAGGTGGTGTGGGCACCAGGAGAGGGAGCTGCAGCCTGCAGCGGATCAGTGCTGCGCTCTGGAAGGGGGGAAAACGGTACGCTCCTTCTGGGAGCTCGGCCACCGAGAGAGCTGCTTCCTCGGCATTTCTTCAGACACGTGGTCAGGTTACACCGCGGCTCTTTTTAGACATCCTGGGGAAGGAAATAGTGTGTTGTAAACGGAGTCCTAGCGGTGTAGTTTTTGCTGAGGAAGGGTAAAATTGTATCAGGGCTAATGTAGAAGACAAGGCACATAGAGATCTATGTTCTTATTGTGTAAAGAAGTTGTAAACGTGACCAGAGGACTCGGATCATGTTGCACCATAGGCACGCTCTTCCACATAAATACTAAGAAAGCTTTTTTAATGTGTCAACGCTTCTGTCATTAACGATAACAACGTGATGACGTGTCAGAATAGCCATGCTCTGTAATCAGGGTTGCCTGTGTACTCAACCAATTGTGGCTTAAGTACTCTTAGATCTGATTATAGAAGCACGTGTTAATTTAAATATGTAAATACTGCTCAAGGCAACGTTAATAATAGGATTCATCCTCCTTCCCCTTCCTCCCCCCCTCCCTTTCCCCCAAGAAAAAATCAACTGGAAAAGCTGCTGCACTGCTCTGTACCTCTGCATTGCTAGGCTTTCTACAGTGAAGCAACTTCTGTCAGACTTTATCAGGCTTATTGTTAAGTCAGAACTCAACAGAAGCTGCTATGAGAATCCATAAGTGAGAGAGAGAATTACGTAATTTTCAACTCTTTTCCACTCCGATTCAAAAACTGGTAAGCCATGTAGAAACTGTTGGGCTACAGATTGCTGCTGCTTCATCTTACTTATATTTTGCAACATTTTGGCAGACTTCAGTTTGTGATAGGTTCATGATGTGGAATTTGAAATGGATTTCCAAATATTTCTCCCGATTTCCTGTGCCCTTCAGCCTGAAACCGTACCACGTGACCCTTATGGCGCAAGTCACTGGTCTGCATAATCGAGGCGTGTGCCCTTCCTTAGTGATCCCAGAACTCCTGCTGGAATTAATTGTATAAAAAAGTAGTTGTAAGCTGTTCAGTGGTTTTAGGGCAGTAAGAGAGGGTGGAAAGCTTGGTGGTGCAGTTAAAGAAAAGTTCCTTAGCAGTACAAGGATGGATTTCAGTTCCATAGGTTGAAGAAAGCCATAGCATAAGAAATGTACTTTTCCCTTTATTCACCTTAAATATCATGCATTATATAGCTTTGTGGCAAGAGTGGATTGATGTACATGAATCTAAACTTAATTTTTTTGTGTGTTGTTAACACTTGCAGAGCTGTTGCGCAGCCACTGGTACCTGTATTGGGGAAACATAGCATACAAGCAAGAACCTTACAGCCTCAGTGGCGAAAATTTTTTCATGTCAGAGACCGAGAACTCTTGCAGTCGTTTATGTCATCCCGTCTTCTCCAGACAGAAGATACCAAAAAACTGCAATCAAAGATCTCTTCATCTTATTGATAAAGCTACTAATAAGGCAAAATGTCTGTCAACGTCAACCGCAGTGTTTCAGATCAGTTCTATCGCTACAAAATGCCCCGTCTGATTGCCAAGGTAACTTCCTAAGCAGCAGCTGGAAGCAAAGCAGGGAGTGTTCTCCCATAACTGGTTTTCCCAGGGTGGGAAAGAGAGGCCAGGATAATGCTTGGTCACTCAGAGCAGGGAGGATGTGCCCTCCTCCGGTCCACACTAAGTACATGTTAGTCTTGGAAGGAGTTGCACTTCAAAGCGGAATTTTGGTGTAGTTAAATGGAAATGCACACTGGGTTTGGCTGTTGCAAACATTTGACCTTAAAATATTATTTGTTTTCTGTAGGTGGAGGGCAAAGGAAATGGAATAAAGACGGTTATAGTCAACATGGTTGACGTTGCAAAGGCGCTTAATCGGCCTCCAACGTGTAAGTATTGTGGAATGACACAGCATTTTGTAATGCTTTTCTGTTTGAAGTGGTAGTGTGAATTGGCTAGTAAAGCATTAATACTGTTCCTTAAAGATTTGTAGGAAAAAAACATGATTATCTCAGGATTAAAGAATGGACAGAAACAGTAGCCTCTACTTGCTCTTTAAGAATCAGAACAAAGATATGAATGTGGTAATGGCTGTAATTCTTCCTTTACAGATCCTACCAAATTTTTTGGTTGTGAGCTGGGAGCACAGACCCAGTTTGATGTTAAGAATGACCGTTACATTGTCAATGGATCTCATGAGGCGAATAAGCTGCAAGACATGTTGGATGGATTCATTAAAAAATTTGTTCTCTGTCCTGAGTGTGAGAATCCTGAAACTGATCTGGTGAGTGCTATGTCTGCATTAACAATGACACCATGGAAACACTGTGTTAGGTGTTTATGAAAGCGGTGCAAAGTTAAGAGACTTCAGTATCTATGAACAGAAATTAAAGTACACATTTTTGCACCCTTTGGGAAGGTTTTGCATCTCTAACAGTTCATAACTTCTGGGATAAATTATTACTTCTAAACTTTATCTTTAGAGGGTGATACTAAAGTATTTGAACCTCTGGCTTAAAATGTAGACATCAGGCTTTAATGCAGTTGTTCTGTAAGTAGTAAATTAACTGGAGGTTGTTCTCTTTACAGCATGTCAATCCTAAGAAACAAACTATAGGTAACTCTTGCAAAGCCTGTGGCTATCGAGGCATGCTTGACACAAACCATAAACTCTGCACGTTCATTCTCAAAAACCCACCTGGTAAGTGCCTTTCCTTACCTCTGGGGATAAAGAGAACTGTATTAGTGGTGTTATGGAAGTAGAAAAATAAATAGCTCACATTTAATTGAAATGTAAAAAGGCACCAGCATACTCCTAGAGTGGTTTTGGGGATCAAGATTGAAGGAGCTGTACTGGTAATGTCTTTTTTCCTTACAATGTGTTCTTCTCAAGTGTAGCTATTGGTTAAAAGCTGGATTTGCCTGTGCATGACAAAACTTACAAGAAAGGAAGGCAGTTAGCTTTAGGTCAGCATGAAATGTGAGAGCAGGAAGTAAAAAACTGTAGTAAATGCAAACTGTAATCTGTGCAAGCAACACTCTGTAGTAAGCATCTAGTTGCCTGCTGCAATTTAAGCTTGCTAGAATAGAAAAGTCTAACCTATTCCAGGGGTCTCTGCTTTGTGAGGTTACCTGTTATATAGACTTGGACAGTCTTGGTGACAAGCAAGACTGGCTGCAGCTGGGGGTTTCCCCACCAAATGTACATCTTCCCTGAGTGTGTTTGGGGATGGGTACTACCCATAACTTGCAGCTAATGACAGCATCCAAACCCACTTGGGGATTTGGCAAAGGTGCAGGGACTTTCTAGTTTGCTCTAGTTCATAGAACAAAACATTAAAATTCACTTGCAGAAAGTGGTGACACTGGTACAGGAAAGAAAGAAAAGGAGAAGAAGAACAGAAAAGGCAAGGACAAAGAGAATGGTTCTGTGTCCAGCAATGAGACACTTCCACCCCCACCACCAGAGGAGATTACTCCTCCACAGGTTGTGGTAAGTAGAAGGGAAAGTGGGGAGATGAGGGTGTGTGTTGTGTTGCTCAGATTTAAATCTCTGAAGTCACTGGCATTCCTTGCTGGTCAACATTGCACCTAAAAGTCTTACTTTATCCAGAACTTAGTGCCAGAATAGAAGGGTCCCTGATTTTACTCTATAGCATCTTTATCAGCTCATCAGTACCAGAATTTATGCTCCTTACTAAGTCAAAGCTGCCTATACTTTATCACTCCTTTTCAGGCACCTGTGTACTAGGTAGAATGGTTGAACTGCAGTTCAGGTAGCCCTGCAGATGGCTATAGAATTAGGTTTAGCTACCATTACTTCCTATATTTGCACTTTCACCGTGATCGTTGACTTGGAAATTTTATTCCAAACATTTCTTAAGGCTGTCAAGTCTGTATTATTTCTATCCTCATGTCATACTAAGCTTGCAGTAATATTTTGTGGCACTCTTGTTTTGGTTTTGTATTGTAGGAGGAGGAGGATGATGATGACTGGGGTGAGGACACAACAGAAGAAGCCCAGAGGCGTAGAATGGATGAAATCAGTGACCATGCCAAGAACCTCACACTTAGTGAAGACCTGGAAAGAACTATAGAGGAGAGAGTCAACTTACTGTTTGATTTTGTAAAGGTAACTACTCTCTGGTTGTTGGCTTGATGTAATCGCTTGGCTGTAATTGTACAACATGTTTGTGAGGAAACCAAAAGCAACTTGCTCGAGCTCCTGCAGAGTGCTGTCTCTACCAGCAGTGGGAAGGGATGACTGCGAAGAGCATGAATGCAGACCTCAAGTGGCATTAAAATGTTTCTATACCTGTTTCCCTCTAGAAAAAGAAGGAAGAAGGTGTCATTGATACTTCTGACAAAGACATTGTAGCAGAAGCAGAGAGACTGGATGTAAAGGCTATGGGCCCACTTGTTCTCACTGAAGTCCTTTTTGATGAAAAGATTCGTGAACAAATCAGAAAATACAGACGTCACTTCCTTCGTGTAAGCCATCTCTTCTGCACTCATTGTGACAACTGTTGGCAGGTTTTTGTAGCAGTTGCTTGGTACTATGGGGAAGGACTTTTTGTAGTGTTTTATTTTTAAACTTCTTGGCTAGGGGGAGCTGCTGGGAAGGGATAATATGAATTACTGTAAACTTAGCAATCTCATAGAACTGCTTCTGCTCTGTTCAGTCTGGAGAGAGGGTAAAAAAGCTCATTCAATCACTTCTGCTTTTATCACAACTCTAGTTCTGCCACAACAACAAGAAAGCTCAGAGGTACCTTCTCCATGGCTTTGAGTGTGTGGTAGCTATGCATCAGTCTCAGCTTATTTCAAAAATACCACATATTTTGAAGGAAATGTATGACGCAGATCTTCTGGAAGAAGAAGTCATCCTTGGCTGGGCAGAAAAGGTAAAGGGCAGTTTGTAATGTACTGTAGCAATTAAATACCTGAAGGTAGCCTAGTGCATCTGGCTTCTCCATTCCTGGTGTAACTTGTGGACCAAGAGGCCTCCTTCACAAAAATGGGCTGTGGAAGGCAGTGGGTGAGATCAGAGTTCCAGTTCAGGCAGTATTTGGGTACAATCTGGTGTAAGCTCCTTCACTGTTCACTCAAAGTATCTGTCTTTCAGGCCTCAAAGAAATACGTTTCAAAGGACCTTGCCAAAGAAATCCGTGTCAAAGCAGAACCATTTATTAAATGGCTAAAGGAAGCTGAAGAAGAATCTTCCGGTAATGAAGAAGAGGATGAAGATGAAAACATAGAGGTAGGAAAGGCTTGCTTACTGTCAGCAGCTCCAAGGCTGCTCTGTTCCTGCATGCTGAAGTCTTGTAACCTTGTCCTGGTGCACTCTGAAATTGATTACTTGGGGTATTAGTGTGCATGTTGGGAACAGGAGGAACACTCAGTTTACAGTGCCTTTTAAGTGCTGCTAATTGGTGTCAACGATATCTACATGATATCAGTGTAATGCAGTTGCACCTGGGTAGTCCAAGACCATGCCATTCTACAGTGGCAGTAGCAGTTCACGTAGTGCAAGGTTGACAGGGGGTATCAAGCATCGTGTCTCATGTTGTAGATGAGTTTGTTAGATAAGCTGATGGAAGAATAACTGACCATTTTCCTCACAGTTCAGACCTGGGTGTAATCTGTTGGTTACACTCCAGCTGGCTGTGGCTGGGAGTGTTTTTACACAGGGATTGGTTGGTTGGTCTCCTCCCAGCATTGTATTATTCTCCTCCTGAGTAGGAGATGCTGCTTCCCCCAGATGTACACGCACAGTTCTGCCCTACAAAGCAGGGATTCATGAATGGCCATGGTCAGGAGGGTGGTTGGGTGTTGGAATTACTCCAGTGCTTAGTGGCAGTAGGTGCTGTAGTTAAAGGAAGTGTCTTGTCTCCACAGGTGGTGTACTCCACAACTGCCAGTGTACCTAAAGTTGAAACTGTGAAGCCTGCAAACAATAAAGATGATGATATCGATATTGATGCCATTTAAAGTGATGCAACATAGCTTCCAGCATAGTAATGCAAACTTCTCTGCATTTTCTGCCAGAAGTGTGACTTGTATGTGCACAAGCTGAAATGGCTTAACATCCTGCTACTTTGTACTCTAAAAAATGTATCTTTTTACTGTGACTGGTCTTGTGTAACTAAGCCTAATACCAAGGAGTCAGCACGTCGGTGAACTGATCGAGTTTGCAACTGGCATGTTCTATTTTGTTTTTCTAACTTGTGTTGGACACATACTTGGAGCACATTTATACAGTTGTGGAAATAAAGGATTTGGTTTTGGTCAATCTTCATTTGTGATTCAACCCCCTTATTGCTTTTCCAAGTAAGTATTTACACAGCTCAGCGAAATTTGTGAAGCTGATCACACAATGACAATCTCTTGAATGAAACAAAATCCCACCTTAACCACCCTAGAAGCTGTTCCAACAGTGGAGATTTGAAACCTGGGCAAGAAGCACGTGTTGGGTAATCAACAGTGTGCAGCTGCCAGCTTCTTAAAGCAGGACAGCTGTGTCTGTATTCTGATCTTTGGATGCTTGGAGTGTTTTAAACAAACTTCAATTGTAATCATACATGAGTTGGGTTTTGTCTTGGGTTTTTCCTTTCCTGTGGTTTTCAACAGCTCCAAATCCAGGATTAATGCAGCAGGAGCTGGTACTGCTGCAGTTGGTGTGTGCTGCCCCTGAGGACCTGGCTGTTGCCAGGGGCCCAGCTGTGCAGTGCCACCACAGCACAGGACCAGCAGTGTCCAGCTCCAGCCTCACTTGGGGAGGGAGGGGCAGAGGAGGAGATCTGGCACCTGAGTGCAGAGGTCCCCAGTTTCACATCTCTGGAAGTCAGTGTCTTAAATACCAATGTTGAGGGATCAGATTTCTTTAAAAGTGGGATAACTTCAAAATCAGGAACCTGGTATGACATGGTGTGTGACAAGTTTTGTCCAGGGAGGAGTTAAGGGTGAGGGTTTTGTTCCTCACAGCTGCCTGCCAGGAAAATCAAAGAGTGTTTTGAGTTTTTTGTTGGATTCAGTATGAGAAGTTTTGAGAGATCAAGGCTGCAGTGCATGGTGAGCTGCTTTTTCTAGTCGGGTTGTTCTGGCGGGACTTGGAATTGGACAAATGCAAAGATTGTTTGGGTAATTGCAGCAGGGGTGCCTTGATCTGCAGGTTCTGTTCCACAGTGTCTTGTGTTGCATGTGGCCCTGGCAGTGAGTTATCACTGGGCACTAGCAGCTGTGGCAAACAGTGCCAGAACCATGGGGTAAAGTCATGGGACATTTCAAAATGCCCTTTTATGTGGATTTCTATTGCTGCAATACAAACCCACAATTTTTAATTTAGAGACAGGTTTATTCCTGGCTTTTGTCTAAAAGAAAATCTGTTCTCCATTGGGTTTAAACCAGGTTTGTATTTCCAAAATGCCCATTTCCATGCATGTTTGGGAACCTGGAAGATTGATTACTAGTGCCTGTGTATGCTCTCAGGAACACATCTGTTCCTCTTGGTGCAGGCAGTGCCTCCCTTGTGTAACTTGTGAGCACACCCTGATAAGTGTTACTCTCATGACCAGAAGGTTTCTGCCTGAAGTCGGTGTTTTGTGGTGTTGGCTGCTGTGAAAGGTGACGCCAGTGAAGTACCATCTCAAGGGTGGTCAGTCACATTTCAGGGCTGACTTGATGGCAATTGCAAGCTGCCATCCGTAGGGATAATCTCTGGCTGTTTGGTTTTTTCCCCCCAGGCTGTAAAGACTAGCAAGACATACCTGTTCCTTCCTGCAGGGAAAGTAGGAAATCACCCAGAAAAGTTTTTCGTAGGGTCAGTGAAGTGGTGATGTCATACCAAAGCTACAGGATGGTAGATTTGGTGTAAAACATGGTGGGAGTATGCAGGGAAGAGAGGTGTTCTTGTCTGTAGTAGCCCACAGGCGGATCAGAGTGAGTGTATCACAAAGTGGTGCCCTAATTCAGTCGGGGAGGCTTCTAAAAGTGCTGAGGCTACAACTATGAAAATCCTGGTGCTGAGTTACACTTCTGACCCTGTTTTCACATTTTGCTGTTTCTGTCTCAGATTATTAACTGATGATTCCACCAGCTTATAAAAATTGAGTGTTGTGTGACTATTTCTTTAGGGAAGGAAGTCTGACTTTAAAGTTTCATGAGTGTTTGAATGTATTGCCTCTGCTATCTGATTAAAGATAACAAGTACATCTTCAAAAGGCAACTTGGAGTTCAGATAAAACCTGCTCCAGGCTTCAAAGTTAGACTTCTGGCACCTGGGAAGGAAACAGTGCTGGGTGAATCCCTTCACTTGGTGCTGTACCGTGTCTGCTAGAAAACCTCAGTGTGAACACTGCCCTTGGGCAGGTGCAGGGTCTCGTGGCAGGTCCATCAGCCTCGGCTTTTCAAACCCTCATCTTGCAGGAGGCTGAGATTGGGAGCTTTGCTGCAGCTTGGCAGCCTCTGGCAGCAGTTTCTCTTCATCCATGATGACAAGGAGCTGCTCAGCTGCCAGCTTGGGGCTCAGCAGCTTCAAACAGGGTTTGAAATCCTGTTGTGCATGTAAGAAGTAAAATTGCCTGGTTTTACTTTTATCTGTTAAAAACCTACAAGTTGTCATTAGAGGCCAGTGCCTCCTCAGCTGGATCTGATTAGATAACTGTTAGATAAAAGTGTGCTCTTTGCTCCTGAGTGTGCACAGCTTTGCCCTGTAGTGAGGCAAGGGCTAAAGATGGGAAAAGTGATTTGAAGGGATTGCAGTAGGCAGAGAAATGTGCTCAATGCTTTTGTTTTACCTTGCTGTGGTAGTGGCTTCCCTTGCCAGTGTACCTGTGATGTGGTGCTGCCCCAGAGGTCATCTCTGCTGGGCCACTTGCCTGAGGCCTTGCCACAAGGCTGTCATTCCTCCCCCCTAAGATCTGCCCTGTTCCTTGGGGTAAGAACTTGTGGAAAGATCCTGATGTCCATCCAAGTCAAACAGCTCGGTTGATTTGTTGCTGTCCAGATATACCTCAGAGTGTAAATAGTTGATCATAAATAATGCTTAGCATGTGGGTGTCTTCCAGTTGTGAAAGATCTGAACCTTGTTGTCTGAAAAGGAGAGGCACCTCTGAAAAGTAGTAAATGTAATGATCGGTAATGAACTGTCCTTTCATTTGTGGACTGCTACGAAATTGTAATAAAGATCACAGGACCTCTGGGGTCCCAGTGAAAGCAGGGACTAGACATGGCAAGGAGAGATGGAACAAAAGTAGCTGACCCCCAATTAGTCTTTCCAAACTGTGGCAGCTATTCTCAAACTAATTAGTCCCAAAGAGCCTCAGAGGCCTGTTACTGAGGATTGACTCCTTGACATTCGGTAACACCACTGAACCGTAAAATTCTGGAACAGAAAACTCAGAAGGAAAAAAAAAGGCAGCTTGAAAGCAATGAAACTTAATGCTCTTAAACCTTATCTGTGAAACACTGCATGGTTAAATTTCAGCTTAAGGTTTATAAAGTTGTTGGAGCTGTTGGGCTTACTTACTTGCTTAACAGGCTGCTGGTGTTGTCTGTGTTTTTCATTTTGGAAATGATCATCTTGCTGCCACAGAGGTGTCAGAATCTGTCTCTTGACTGGGAATTGCTGAGGAGATGTTCTGAGGCCCCTGACAAGCAGCTTTCCCAGGATGTCCCTTCCCTAGGGCAGACCAGCACCAGGGTATCTCCACAGCTTCCTTAGAGCTACTGCAGCTGACATCAATCAAGGGCATGGCCCCAGTGCCCAGGTGATGCTGCTTTTATTCAGTAAAATTCTAAAATGCCTCATTTTTTTTAGAGAAAAATCAAATAACATCTTGATCGTTTGGGTTAGGAACATAAGGAGCAGATTCACTCAAACAGAGGGAAATGTTCTTCCTGCTGAAATTAGTGTCAGGGAAACCAAATGAGTGCTAAACCATCTTCCCTGCACATCAGTTTTTCTACTTGCATGTGCTGCCAAGTCGTTGCTTACTCAATAGTCAGGGCTCTTTAAGCTGGTCTGTTGTGGCTGAATTTCCAGTCCTGGGTGTCCTGCGGGTGAGATGGCAGTGGCTTCCAGTGCTGGCCACACAGATCAGCTGTGACAGGTTCAGAGTGAAGCCAGGCAGCTGGGTCAGTAAGGCAAGGCTGGGAGCAGCAAGGTGCAGGGCTGGGCACAGACCTGCCCGTGGGGGTACACGAGCTTCACAAGGGCCCCTGCCCAAGTGCCAAGGTGCCTTGGCCACAGACGTTTTCTCTCAGGACTTTCTCCCACTGATCCTTCCACATCACTCAGCTCCAAGGTTTCTCAGCTGCACCACACCGGAGCTTGAACACAGCCAGTCCTGCACCTGCAAGGAGGGGAAAGGGTTGCAGAGCCTACTTCTGCTCCCAAGTCCCTGATATTTTCTGAGGTTTGGGCTGTCTTTTCTGGTGCTAATCTCATCCCATTACTGTGGTGTTAGAGGCATTTTCTGCACATTATTTTCTCAAGGGGGAAAAGAGACAATTCAAAGGAGTGCTCTGGTCTGAGCACAGTTACAGGCACTACAGCCATACATTCCAAATGAGGGAAGTATCAGCACCAGGAACAACTCAGCTAGAGATTTGTGTGGGTGTTTTATTATTCTCTGTGAATTTGTGCTTGATACTGTTTTTTATATTTATCTGATATTAATAAAACCCAAGGAACTGCATTGACGTCAATGGAGTTTGGCTTTGATTCTGTGCAATTAAGGTAGACATCTGACATCTTTAAAATAAACATGAGGAAGTATACTTCCCCAGGAGAATCCTATCCCTGTCTTGTCAGGAAATTGTTATTAAATTATTTATTAATCAATTATCACTCTTACGGACAAAGTCACAGGTATACAAATTGTGAACAGAGTAGTTTGCATAGGAAAAGACTAAATAAAGAAGTAAAATACTAAATTAAAAGACTAAGGGTGGTCTCTGGAGTTGGGAAAAATGGATTTAAAAGCTACCATCTCCTGCCTCTTGTGTTCCTTCAGCCTGTGCTCACATTCTGTATCACAAGCCAGAAGAGCTGGTGGTTCCAGCTGGATGTGCTGTGGAACTTGGGATGGTTGTGGATGGTGCGCAAGTACACTCAGGGAAAATTGTAAACAGGAGCTCCAATGACAGGAAAACACTGTTCTGTGTAGAAGAATTAATGGGATTTTAAACAATATCATTGAGATTCTTATTTATCAGTTGACATTTAATACAGGAGTTTGCATTCTCCATACCTTCTCCATGAACAGGATTGGCTAGATTTTAGTTTTTATTCTGCTGAAAGATGCCTATTAAAAGGCATCACTAATACCAAAAGGTATCACTAATACCAGAATGCCAAAGAGGAAATTTTAAGGAAAATTTTAAAAACCCTTGACTATTGGTGGACTTCATCAAAATCCCAAGAAACAGTTCAGACAAGATGAACGATGTAGCTGCAGCCACTCGGGCTGCTGTCAGGAACACACCACCTCCAAAGAGCAAAACCCCAGCTTAGGTGGAGCAGTACAGAAACAGAGAGGAGAAAACCTCTCTGGGAGGAAAGTGGGTTGGAGCCTACCCAACAGAGGTCACCAAAGAACAACACCTTCACCTCGCAGTCAGTGAAGGAGCCAAAGTTTTATCAAAGTAGCACAACTTGCTACAGGGGATGAAACCCCCCCCTGTAAAAAGCAGTAACATATAGAGGGAAATAATCAACTGTGCGCTCCTCATGCTGACTAAAAATCAAGGAGGTGGAGAGGTGATGAGTCCTCCTAAGAGCACCTGGTCAATCCTGATACCAGAAGACAGGAGCAGTGCATTTGACCTGGGGAAAGAAATGCTGCAGGAAGCAAGAGGTGTTCCTGGAGTCCCCAGAGCTGTGCAGGTGGGTAACCAGCCTCTTGTGGGGACCTGGGGGTGCTCTCAGTTTTGCTTGGCCAGCTTTGTGTGCCTGGGTGAAACATCTGCTCCGGACCTGTTCCTGGGAGAGGACAGAGTGTGTGGGTTGGGAGAGAGACACAGGAAAGCCAGGCTCAGCAGCACAGGCTTCGCTGGCTGCATCCTGCTCCGGGTCACTGAGAGGGAAGCCAGGAAGTGAAGGTGGCTGTGGTGTGTGGGTGGTGAGGATTGTGAGGTGATCAGTGAGGCCTTCCTGTTTGTAACACCAAGAGGCTTTTCCTGGGCAAGGGGGTGGTTTTATCTGAATCACTGAAGAGGAACTGAGTGTTCCTGGTGGGAGGAAAAGTGGGAGAGCAGGTACCTGTCTGTTGTGAGAGCCTTTCTGGAGGCGTTCAGGGATGTGCACTGAGGAGCTGTGGAGCTTCACTAATGCAAGGCACTGACTGCTGCACTTTATTCTTTTTATTTTTACAGTCTTTTATGATACTGTCTCTGCCTTTGTTCCTTTTCTTTCACCTCAGCACTGTGGGGTGGGACTGGGAGACAGAAAGAAGCAGTGGTATCACTAATACCAGAAAACCTGTTCTGCAGGAAAACCTGCAGATGTGTGCAGGATGGGGAAGGACTCATGACCCAGCCTGCCCTGCACACAGAAGGCCAGAGGGTGATGGGGAATGACAGGTTCTTGCCTGTCTTTCCCCTTTCCCATGAACTCTTTCTCAGCTCTGGTCAAAGAGACCCAGTACTGTTCAAGGAGCAACCAAAGGAAGGTCTCCTGCCTTTCCTGCTCCATGGGACTTGCTCTGCTGTGGTGTCAAACAGCCTGTGCCTTGGTCTAGGCTGGGTGGTAATGGTGGATTTGGAGTTTATAAGGGAGATGTTTGTAGCTGTCAGAGGGCTATGCCCTGAGGAGGCACTTAGGTGTCATAGAAGCTACCAGTGCTGGGAATTTTCTGTGACCTACTTTTCCTCCCAAAATTCTGTTTCATGACAGTGGCAAAGACCCATTCCCCAGGAACCTCCCCAGGCTGCAGGAGCGATCCCAGCCGGGAATGACCTTGCTCCCCCCAACACCGTGACACTGTTACAGCATCCTGCAGGGACACAGCCCGGGCGGGCAGGCAGGATGGGGAGGGCACAGGGGGCACATTTTGACCCGCCACAAGGCCTGCGTGCCACCTGCGACCCCGAGCATCCGCCACTCCCGCCGGGGCAGGGCTGCGTGGGGCGCAGGGACCGTGGCCGAGATCGTGGCTGGGACTGCGGGATCAGGCTGGGAGAGCTGGGGCCGGGCACTGGCGCGCCTGCGGGGAGGGACGAGGCAAAGCGGGGTGCCGGGAATGTGGGGTGCCGGTGCTTCGGGATCCCGGGAGTGCGGAGTGTGGGGAGGGCGGGGTCCCGGGAGTGCGGGAACTCGGGGCTGACGGGTCTCGGCGAGGCGGGGTCCCGGTGTTGCGGGGTCCCGGTGTTGCGGGGTCCCGGTGTTGCAGGGTCCCGGTGCTGTGGGGTCCCGGTGCTGGGGGTCCCGGTGCTGCGGGGTCCCGGTGCTGCGGGGTCCCGGTGCTCTGGGGTCTCGGTGCTGCGGGGTCCCGGTGCTGGGGGTC